ATCTAAATTTGTTGCTCTAGAAATGGCAGGTAATGAAGCTGAATGGCTAAGGAATCTTCTTATGGATGTTCTTTTATGGGAAAAACCAGTTTCTTCCATTTCTTTACATTACGATTCACAAGCAGCAATAGAGCAAGAGACATATATGATTCCTTAGCCATATATGTGTACAATGGGAAGAAAAGACATATATATCTAAGGCACAACATTGTTCGACAGCTTATAAGCAATGGCGTAATAGCCTTGGAGTTTGTGAGATTAGAGTAAAATCTAGCAAACCCTCTAACAAAGGAGTAACCAGGAAGGTAGTATATGATGCATTGAGGAGGATGGGACTTAAGCCCATTGAGTGAGTCACCTGTGATGGCAACCCAACCTATGTGATTGGAGATCCCATGAATCAAGTTCAGTGGGTAACAACAAGTCATAGAGAGATTCAATATAGCATTATCTTATATGTCTCTGCCTAAGGTTGAGCTAGGAACTCTTAATGAACTCATAGCCTATAAAGGTAGTATGGAGCAACTCACACTTGATAGGTTCACCTATATAGGTGTAAAGGTTGGGCAGCCTTCTATGAGAGTGGGGGCTAACTCTCTAGAGCACTCATGAAAATCCAAGCAAGGTGCATGGCCTTAAAAGCACCAATATGAGAACTCATCATCAATACTTGAGGTGTGTGTGGTATTGTTGAATCACCCCAAAGTTAAGGGTTCAAGACTGTGATACCCCTATTCCATAATATGCTAATCGGTCCTTAATTTAAATATGATTATGTGTTTGATATGATTTTGTATTCCAATCATGCGAATATATGTGGTTTTGAATTTCTATCTATTCACCGTAGGAATATCTGTTTGATTATCTGCTTTGGAAATTAAATTGAAGGCCTTATCGGCCATAGAACCCGAAATTGATTACGCCATAGTGATTGGCATAATTTTTAGAGCCTACGGTGAAATTTAATTGAAAACTGATTCGGGTCAAATTAATCAGATTTAATTAATGATTTAATGCTCAATTATTTTATGTTAAAATAATGTATGTGAGTGGGGCTATATTATAAGCCTTATTAAATTCAATTCCTTCCCTTTACATGACTTTGGTTGATCAAACTCTAAGAGAAAAAGAGAGGGCCGACTGTTAGAGAGAGAGGGAGAGAATTGGGTGATTTTGGCTCAAGGTTTGGGGAACTTGAAGATTAAACCCAAGATTTTGTTATAGTTTGGGAGATTGAACTCTTAGGTAAGTAAACTCATGGATTTTTGTTTGTAATTTGTAAATTCAAGTTTGATTAATGGACAAGAACACGAGTTAGCTTGAATATAAGGAAATTGAGTTCTATGTGTTGGATTTAAAGTTAATAGAAGCATGCATGTAAGGAATTGCTATGGATTTCCATGTTTGAGCACAATGTGTATAATCTATGTTGAATTTTGTTTCAAATCCATGTATATGACCATTTCTTCACCAAATAAGTTGTGAATAATGAGTATTTCTCACATGCAAGAATAGATCATGAAAGTGTAAGCTTTGCATGTTTGAATTTGAAGTGTTGGTGATGAATTTGGATTAATTTGAGACATGCATGTAAGTAATACAAGAAATTGATGTATTTAGTGTTGGTACCATGTTAGTACAAGAATATGTGAAATTGGAGCCATAATATGCAAGAATTGTGGTTGGAAGGTCGAATTTGAACTCAAGAACACAATCTGGGAAACCCAGAATTTTGACGTCCGCTCGAGCGGGGTAATGGCCGCTCGAGCGGGAAATGCGTGCTCCCAGTATTTTTTTGCAGACTTGATGTCCGCTCGAGCGGGGGAGCTATTTTGACAGGCCTTCTACTCGAGCGCCCTATTTCACGCTCGAGCGTACTTTTGATGTAACTAGCACTTTTGCAGGCCTATAGGGTCCGCTCGAGCGGGAAAGGCCACGCTCGAGTGGGTACCCTATTTTCTGAAATTTTATTTTTGCATTCTGTGTTCTGTTTGCCGTTCTCTTTCACTTGCAAGCACTCTTAGGTATATGTTAAGCATTGTAAATGAGTCGAAGAGATAAGAATAAAGCCTAAAGAGGAAAATGTGAATTTTGAACGGATTGAATTGTTAGTGACCCTTTTATATTCATTGCATGTGTAGGGTTGAGTTCCAGGGCGAACCAATCAACCGATCACTGTGAATAATATCTGACATATGTTATTGTCCAATTGCTACTTTTGTGTAAGTTTTGTAAAGTTCATTAATTTGAATGGCGAACACAGTTTGATATGAAAGTTTGAAAGGCCTATGTGCCAGTTTGATCTGAAAGTTTGAAGGGCCTAAGAGCCAGTCTGATATAAGGGCCTAAGAGCCAGTCTGATATAAGGGCCTAAGAGTCAATCTGACATAAAGGCCTATGAGCCAGTTTGAAATGAAAGGCCTATGAACCAGTTTGAAATGAAAGGCCTATGAGCCAGTTTGAATGAAAGGCCTATGAGCCAGTTTGAAATGGAAGGCCTATGAGCCAGTTTGATATGAAAGGCCTATGAGCCAGTTTGAAATGGAAGGCCTATGAGCCAGTTTGAAATGAAAGGCCTATGAGCTAGTTTGAAATGGAAGGCCTATGAGCCAGTTTGATATGAAAGGCCTATGAGTCAGTTGAGATGAAAGGCCTATGAGCCAGTTTGATATAAAAGTTTGAAAAGGCCTAAGAGCCAGTTTGACATGAATGAATTGGGCCCAAGGCCGTCTGTTGTATAATGTTTCAATGCATTTCCTTTACTTGATATTATTTACTGGGCTTTCGCTCATGCTCATTCATGTGTTTGTAGGTGAGCCAAGAGAGGTCCAAACCCAGCCCCAGTGAAGCCTAAGTGGATCAACATAGGTTTCGGAAAGTCAGCCCTTGTGTCTCACGCACGAGACTCATCTTCGCCCTTTTGTTATGTATTTATAATTTTGTCATGTTGGCGAAGTTTTGTATTTGTCTGTACATAGTTATCTTGGGTTGACTTACTTTTGGATGATCCTGTTGTACAGAACTTGTGCTACTGTATTGAGTTGTGAGTTATTAATGTCTATGCGTATGGTTTGTTTTGACGTGCCACGTAAGCACACCTCTAAGGACAAAGTTTTTAAAATTGCTTCCGTTTGGCCCCCATCAACTCTGTTAAATACGTTTGGTTTAGTTTGAGGCCGTAGGTAATCTCATGATTACTGGCCGGTTATGTCCTTAACCCATGGGGGCGGGTTCGAGTCATGACAAAGACTTATGTCACCTTTCACTAGTGATTCACTTTCTAGAAACACTAAGTGTCGATTCAAGTCCACAAGACATCGACATTAACGCACTTCAAGTCAAGCCTGAATTTATAATTTTTATTATCTCTTTCTATCCTTTTTGTTTTAATTTGAATCATGTCGAGGATTGTTAGAGGTGCTTCAAATTTATAAATACATATACTCGCACATTGGTATGTGAATTCAAAATAACATGTTTTTTAAAAATCTTTTCTTTATAATTTGAAGTCAACTATTCCCTTTCCTTCTTAGTTTAATCTTGATTTTGAAGTTGATTAGCCCTTAATATAATTTACATGATTGTTTAAAATTAGTTCTATCACTATACAAAAATATACTTATAATAAGTAATAAAATATTTTAGTATTTTCAATAACAAATTATATATATAATTTAAACGGTCTGATTCCTATTGAATTTGTAGCTATAAAACCACATACCGAGTACGATCTGCATATTTCCAAAATCATAATCAAAACGTGCATTAAGAAAATCAAACCAAATCATGCAATTTAAGCTGAATTAGACTGGTTTACTTTTTTTAGTTTTTATCATCGGCCCTAGTTTGGGGGAAAGGATTTATTTATTTATTCTTTTGTTCTTTCACTTAAAGGGCAAATTTGGTATTTCAAAAAAATAGTAGATGGGGAAATTCTATTTCCACACACGTAATGAACTCAAGGCAAATGTTTTCTCAATACACACACCTATTAATTTAATTATGAACTAATTTTCTCAATTCACACCTTTAAAATTATAATTACATCCTTCACTCATAACCATGGTACACACACTTTGCCCTCAAATGCACACACTTTAATTGACATTTCTAATTCCACCCACTTTTGTGAAGACCAAACTAACTTCGTTCAAACAGAGGGGAAAAAAAAAATTGAACTTTCCTCACCTTCACTAAAGATCTTGAAGAGCTCCATTGAATCTCTGCTAAAAACTATTGAAAACCTTTGTTTAAGGTAAGAATTCTTTCCATTTTATTATTACATTTATCATTTTGTTATTACATTTACCATTTTTGAATATCTCTGCACTCTATTTGGCATAAAACCATTGATATTTCCATGGCTAGGCACGGTTTGGAGCTCTCGGCACTGGGTGTCCAAATTTGTTTCTTTAATTCGGAACTTAATCACCAAATAATTTGTATAATTTCGACCAATTAAATCTGAACAAAATACAAAATTTCGAAGTTTTGAAAAATATACACAAATTCGAAACTTGTATATCGAAATATAATTTCTATTTCGGAAGTTGATTTCCGAATAGGTTGATAAAATTCCACACTGCCTATCCGACTAAAAAACGAAAAAAAACAAAAACAAAATTACTACATGAAAAAACTAATCTTTTCAGCACTGATTTTGCTGTCATCAGATATATTTTTGCTTGAGTTTGAAGTTCCATAAGTTTGTAACTCTTCCATATAAAAATCAAGTAAAAATTATGGAACTAATAATTAGGGTTTAATTGTTTTCATTCAAAAAGTCTATACTGAGATATTTTTGTTCCTAAAAAATGTGTACAAAGAATTTTTATATATAATATTAAGAGTATTGCTAAGATGTTATTATAATAATTTTTATTTAAAATATAATTATTATTAAATTAATTTTTCATTAAGCGTGTAACCTGAGTTTACCCGTATGTGGAAATAGAATTACGCTAGTAGATGGCATGATCATTTTTTCTTAGGAATTTGAAACATAAAACCAAAGCAGGAGGGGGTTTATGAAATTGTTATAAACTTCAGGGAGGTCAGAACTTGGACGTTGCTGTGTACCGTTCCCGACTAGGTTGTAAGAAGGGAGAGGCAGACAGAGACGAGATAGAGAGAGAAAGATGGCAGGAGTAGGAGAAGCTCAAAGAAGACAAGGGAGGCCACTTCCTCCGGCGAGGCGAGGCCCACCTGGCCCTCCTCCTCCTTTATCTAAAGCCGCTCCTCGCTTTGAACCCGTTGATCGCGAGAAGGTCCCCCATCCCCTCCTCTCCTTCTCTCTCTATATGCATATATATATATATATACTTGTATCTATGTATGGGTGTTCTACAGTTCAAAGCATTACTGTCTCTGTTGTTTCTGGTTTTTTTAGGGTTTTACTTATGTTTTTTTGATTCATTTCTTACCTTGTTGGATTTTCCCTTTGCTGTGTTTTTTTTCTTTCTTTTTAGGGAAAATTTCACTTTACAGCTACATATATGTATATATATATACACTGCACTTCATCTTCTTCACCAAAGCCAAACAATTCACCTTTCCTGTAACCAAGATGAAAAAAATTACAGACAAAAACAATTAAAGTGTACATTCCTCAATTAACAATAAACCAAACCAACCAAACCAAGCCTTAAGTCCCATCAAATGGGTCGGCTGTCATTCCTCAATTAACAATGAGCTAAACAAAACCAATCAAATACTATACTAGTCTTGTTCATTTTGCAGAAACACAACATACAAAGCAAATTTAGAAATATGGAATCACAATCAAAGTAGACTATATAAGCCCACTGTGCTCCTACAATTTAAGAAAACTTCTCCCTCAAACATCCCCTTAAACAGAAAATAGTTAATTGATGTATATGCTAGCCTAGTCATATATATATTGCTATTATGGTAATATATATACTGTTATAATATATGTATATACACGCACACATAAATACACTTATAAATATCATTTCCAAATTGAGACCAATGTTCCTAAGACCCACAAGCAAACCCTGCTCCTCATCTACGGCACAGAGCCAATGCAATGTTGGAGTGGAACGAGTTGATATATATAGCTCTGCAATAAATTCAATGTCTGTGTTTATGACATCGTGCTCTAAGGAAAAAATCCACACGGAGTACATAGGATGCATGTGGTTGGGCTGAACTACGGTGGGTTTGTGGCATGGTTGTGCAATCAGCGGAACGGGCTGGTGGGGAAGAGAAAAGAGATTTTAGAGAGATAAAAACAATAAGGAACTATGAAGCACGGATACCTCTCCAGAGGTCATGTACAAGTGTCTATTACGGACATGTGTCGGACACATATCTGACACACTGGGACACACTTGGGACACGTAGGGACACACTGAGGACACATTAAGGACATACTGAGGACTATTTTTTTTTTTTAAATTAAAATTTTCTTTTATACTAAAATTACATACTTAAGATTGATAAATTTGACAAAATTAAATATTTGACGTAAAATACATATTCAATATTTAAAAATGTGTCATATAATAAATGTATAAAATTATAGATTTTGCACGTGTCCCTAACGTGTTGTGTCTTGTATTATTTGAAAATTTACTTGTCCATGTCATGTCACGTGTCTATGTTCATGCTTCTTAGATAAGGAAGAAGAGAGCATTTTATTAATTTTGAATAGACAAAAGTGGCTGTTTCACAAACCCATTTGCAAAAAAAAGCGTGAAATACATGGACTGTTAAGTTGGATGAAAAGTATGACGGTGCACTTCAGTTCACAAATCACGTAGGGGTTATGTAGTGATTTCCAAACAATAAGGGGGCAATCCGCACACGGGTCAAACCATGAGGGAGTAAAGTGAAATTTGTCCTTTTTAAATTTACTAGTTATTGGACAAAAAGGATAAATTACCAATGTAAGAACTATTTATTGGACAATAAAAGATAAAATACCAATCCAGTTTATTGCAATGTTGTAGGAATTAAGATCCTTCTGTAGATTTTGACTCAAGCTCGTTGCCCAACCTTTCTTGGTTCAGCTTAGTGAGCGTTCTCAAGCTTTGTAAGCCTAGATTCAAGTCCCCGTCCCAGTATTTCAAATATATATAATCCCGGTGTTTTTTGTTCTATTCACATTTGCACCTACCACAACTGTGTCTAATTGTTCTACCATTGGTTCTCTGCTCACAAGCTTTTTCCTCGGGTTCATCAACTGCTCCATTTACTAAATATTTCCATTATCAAAAAGTTGAAGACGATGGATTTTGCTTCAAATGCTTATTGTTGTCACCATTTTGTGCGTTCTTGACAAGTTGAGTTAGTGTAAGCCTATCTTCATGGTCTATATCGCTTGCTTTAGTCACAATGCAATTGAAAGAAAAGCATGTTGGTGCACGAGGATCCTTGTTAGTATTTTTCTAAGAAACACAGACACATGACACAACACAGACACATGAATATGTAAATTTTTAAAAAATGTAGGATACAATAGGTTGGGGACACGTGTAAAACATATAATTTTATATATGTATTATATGTCATATTTTTAAATATTTAGGCCTTGTTTGGTTTGTTTTTCAGAAAAATTTTTGAAAAAAATTCTCTACAAACAAATTTTCAAGAGTAATCAAACCAAACAAATTTTTCCAAAAAAAATCTCAAAATTTTGTTTGGTTATCTACTTTCCAAAATTACTTTTTCTCTCATACATATCAAATCAATCACTTTTTTTAAAACTCTCTCCCTAAAACAATTTTCCAAAACATTTTTGAAAAAAGGCAAACCAAACAAGTTTTCGTACTTTTTATCTCAAAAATTACTCTACAAACACAAACCAAACACACCCTTAATATTTATTTTGTATCAAATATTTAATATATCAACCTTAGGTATGCTATTATATTAAACCAAATTTTTTTTTTTTTTTTGTTGAAAAAAATGGTCCTCGGCGTGTCCTTTGTGTGTCCCCAGCGTGCCCTTTGCGTGTCCACAATGTGTCCATAGCATGTCCTAAATGTCCCAACGTGTCCAAGCTATCTGGCAACTTCAAACCCTTATACTTAACAAATCCATCCCCATCAGCACATTTTAGCTCGAAGTTCCTCTTACATCCATCAGTGTAATCCATCATACTCCAATCTCCTGATGAATTGGTTGTGAACCCTTTTAAGCATTGACAAGTTGGTTCATCAATGTGACAAACTCCATAAGGTCCACATGACCTATACCCATCACAAGTGTCCTTATTAAGGGTAATCGTTGGAATACATTGGCTGGTATAGTTCTTCCATGTGAGAAACTCTCCCAATTGGGTCACCACTAACATAACTAGAACAGACTTGTCTAGGACATCAGATGTTAAGTAAACACCATCACCATTGGTATTGAACATGGTTTTGAACTAAGAAGCACAGACACTTTTAAGAAGGTAAAGTATCTGTGTCGTGTCCGTGTCGGACACCGACACTCTTTGGACACTCTTAGGACTCGTGTCCGACACTCTTCAAAATGTGTCTTATTTTCAATTTTTTTTTATTGACCCAGATACTCTTTGGACACTTGGAGGACACGCGTGTCAATCGATTAAACACACGTGTCAATCGACTAAACACACGTTTCTATCGATTAGACACATGTGAAACTAATTATAAGTTTGAACAAACAACTTAAGATATAATAATAAAACAAAACCCATATAAATTTAGTGGAATTAGTGTCATTGTATTTTTTATTATCTTTGAATAATATATTTATATATATAACATATAATAAATATATAAAATTATATATTTTACGAGTGTCCCCCACGTGTCCTGTCCTGCATTTTTTTGAAAATTAACGTGTCGGCATGTCCGTGTCGTGTTCGTGTCCGTATCCGTGTCTTGTCACGTGTCCGTGTTTGTGTTCGTGTCCATACATCTTAAGTTTTGAAGATTTGGTTAGACTCTAAGGCATTGGTACCACTAAACCGTACCCCATCCCAAGGACCCCACCTATATTGCTTGGTCAAGTTAGTTTCTAAGACCAATTGGGGCAATTGAGACTTTTCCAAGCCCAATGTAAAGTCACGAAGTGATGGATCATGATTGTTCTTCCATGATGTTATCACCCAGTTTTGACTTATGTTATAGTCCCAACCAATCTTCATCCTAGGCAACAAAGTATCACATGGATAATCAAAGCTTTGCAATATATACCCACCATTAAACACATCACTATCATCTTTACGAATGAGATTACCTGAATCTAATAGTTGTAGTACTGCACTGGTTTACCAACCTTCTTATCAGGCATTGTGAGCAATACCAAGCTACGTGTTTGATCTTGAAGTGCAAGACTACCATTGAAGTATAACATAAGTGTAGCATCATAATTCTTTAGTGGTTTGGTTCTGTTGGCAACCCAGACCACTGTGAGTGGTGTTATGTCCTTGTACCATATACCCAAATACCTTTTCGTTGTTTGGCTAGAAGGACTGAAGAAACCTAAAACAAATCTCTCGTTGGCAGAGACTAGTGTTTAGCCATCCTTGAGCCTCTAAAATGGAGTCAAACGTGTCTAGACTGTACCCAACGTGTGTTCGTGTCTGACACGTGTTTGACACATATATGTCACCTCCGGAGAGGGGTCCGTGCTTCATAGGTAGTTTTACTAATGTAATTAGGAGTGAAGCCAAGAGGAATACTTGATGTTTCCCCGGTGCATTTGGGAGGAAGGCCCGTAGGAATATATGACTTTTTCTAGGTACATTTGAGAGGAAAGCCAAAAAAAATACCTGATGTTTTTCTAGTGCTTTTGGGAAGAAAGGTAGGAGGTCTATCTGACATTTTCCTGATGTATTTGGGAGGAATATCTAACATTTTCCTGGTGGATTTGGGAGGAAAGCTGGGAGGAATATTTGACTTTTCCCGATGCATTTGGGAGGAATATCTGACGTTTTCTCAGTGCGTTTAGGAAGAAAGCCAAGAAGAATATCAGACATTTTCCTAGTGGATTTGGGAGGAAAGCTAGGAGGAATATTTGACTTTTTCCCAGTGTATTCGGTAGGAATATTTCCTGTGAAGCAAGGATATTTCAAATAGGGTGATGTATCCGTATTGGATATCGATACTCCTTGGATACTCGGGGATACGTATCGGATACTTATTAAAAGTATCGGATACTCCAAGTCATGTTTACTTGTATTAGGAAATTAGAATTATAACATTTCTTGCATAGTAATATAATATAATATAATTGCAAGTATAAATATAAGAATATTTTTCTAATACTT